ATTAGCTTTGCGTGAGAAAAGACTGATCTGATTTCTATGTTTGAAAATTGAATAAATAAGAAAAATAGCAGCTGCACTGTAGTCTTTTTTATTTTGCAGTTTGATAGCCGTGACAAGCAATTTGGTTCTAATATTTTAACAAAGATTCAGCTGTCTGTCAAAATTAAACTTAAAAAGTTTATTTATGTCTGACACAAGTATTGACTGTAGTTTGAGGCGTGTTTTCATGAGTCTGGGCTCACAAAGAGTTTACAATAACTTGGAATGCGTTCTTGTAATAAGCATTAAATAACGCTAAAATGGGGCATTTTCGATGCCTCACTGCTCCTTAACGAGCATGGGCACCCCCCTTTTTTATTTTTTAATTTAAGTTCTCATATGATAAATATTCATTGGACAAAGTTTGAACAAAAATCTATGTGCAGTGTTATTTCAGGGGAACTACCTCAACATTTTATCACCGGTGAGTGTTGCGTTTTCAAATTTCTCCGGCGTAGTGTGAACGGAAAACATGTGATGCGTCTTAAAAGTGAAAAAGCCGTTTTAAAATTTCTCCCCAGCGTAGTGTGGACGGGGTGTTAACGGGCGCAGTGGTCTGTAATCCACAAACTTGGCGTTCTTGCTGTTAAATCCACGTGCACATGGATGGTCAACATATAAATTACCCTAACTAGTCCCAATTCCTTATTACTAATAGTATTATTTGGAAGAAATTGCTTAAATATCAAGACGTTTGCCACTTCCTTACTGGTCATGATTGCTTTAATTCTCACTACTTTGCTCTTGAACTTGTATGGAGCAAGGCGGCCGATCAATCTTATGCATAAAATAAATAAAATAAAATAATAAACGCACCAGGTTTGACTCTGTTCTCAGTCAAAGCTTCTTGTAATTTTTGCTGTAGCTGTTCGGCTCTTTTCCTTTCTAGTTTGAGTTGACGCTTGAGATCTTTAACCTGCAGTGGAAATATAAATACAAATGGTAAGACAATTGACGTCTGGTGCATCCCGCCGGGTCGGCAAGAGAGTCGCACCACTTCCCGTCCCGTCCCTTCTCTTCCCGTCCTGTCCCGTCAAGCCTTTGTAGAGTAAAGCTACAATCGTTTTATGCACGTTTCGGTTTTAAATTGCAAAATGAGGGACAAGAAGTAACAGGGCATATTTGACTCTAATTTAAATATACCACGTCAATTGTATTGTATTTTACTTTATTATCCATTCATTGTACATAAACTAATGAAGAGTTTTTGAAAATCAATCAATCAATCAATCGATCGATCGAGCGAGCGAGCAAGCAAGCAAGCAAGCAAGCAAACAATCAATCAACGGCGAGGGAACCTAAAAAAAATGTAACTGGGCTCGCAAACTTAGATCCCTCCGCAAGCAATGCATCATTCCCCTGCTCTATGCCCTAAGTAAAATAAAAAGCAAACCTAAACAAACAAAAAACAAGAACTAAAAACAAAACAAAACAAACAAACAAATAAACAAAAAGACAAAACCAAAAGCAAAAAAACAAAATAAAATGAAACCCAAAAACAACAACAACAACAACAACAACAACAACAACAACAAGAAAACAAATTTAAGGGAAAAGCAAACAAACAAACAATTATCGTTAAATTAAACAAAAAACAACAAGAAACAAATAAGCAGACGCTGACCAGTTGATCTCCTTTCTTTCCAGCGATCCTATTCTCCACTTCTTTGTCCTTAAGTTCCTGCTGCAGTTTGTCCATCTCTTGACCTTTCTCTTCCATTTCGTCTTGAAGAGCAGTGATTTGAGATTGAAAAACCTGAGGAGAGAAAAATAAAACAAGAAAAAAAAAATTCACCAAACTCTGTTTGGACCTTACCTCTTGAGCAACAGACACGATCTTATTAGAAAGTGAGAGTGGCCAACAATGGAAACTGTGAAAAAAGACTAAAATATGAGAAGATTTGAGGAAGGTGGCTAACTTTATTGCGTTCAGCTGCAACTTCTTTAACACTTGAAAGGCAACCCTATTCTGGGCCATATCTGGGTATCTGGGTACGAGTACGGTGTCAGGTTTTGCCATGCTCTCTTTCAAACTCTCAAGTGTTCCAAGACTATAGTTTCCTGCAAAGGACTGGTGACTACCAACCTCTGTTTCTCTGTCTCGTTCTTCTTGTAATGCTTCCAATTCACTTTCACGTTCTGCCCGTAACTCGGCCAAAGATTTTTCACTCCGTTCCTTCTCTGCTTTCAAGTTATCCTAGTGAAGTAAAAACAACAATATAAACAACCACTATTAAAGACTCGCACAGTACATTTTCAATATGAATACCACGCATATCAATAGACATTCCGGCTCTAAACGCTTCTGCCTCACTTCAAACGTAAACAACAAAAGCGCTTCAAAGTAATTTAAGAGAAAACGTAAATTTTTGAAAACAGAACTTTGCCGTTTTCACGCAGAACACGAATCGTTATTCACAAGCAGTCACTTTGTTAACCCTGTACCATCTTTCAAACCAACACCCTTTCCCACACAAGAGCTACCCGTAATTGAAGCTATATTTTTGATATTCGTATTTCACGAACAGTAGCACAACATACTTCTGTTTCAGCGAGCCTTCTCTCAAACCAGCCACTCTTGCTTTCCAGTGACTGTACTTTGGCCTTCGCTTCTGCTAGCTTCAGTTGGGTCTCTTCAACTTCTTTGCGTAGTTTCTGCCAACAAAAAGCAAATGAAATATCACTAAATTCGGACTCCCCATACTATACAATATCAAAGTAAAGGTCAAAAAAAGCCAACGCTGAAAACGAAACAATTTTATCAGTGGGAAGCTTCGTGGATAGCTCAAAACGGGCTATCTACATATGGATATATATGAAGGGAACTTTCATCCACGGTTTTGTTGCTCTAAGAGGAACTACTGTAGCTTAAGACAAAACTAAAGGGCAAAAAAAGAACCCTTGAAAGAGAAATAAAGACGACTGGTTCAGTAAAACTAAGAATTGCAGTAGAGGATGTCGTCACTGATTTAACACTTTCAGTGTCGTGCCAAAGCGGAAAATTGCACGTGACTCCAAGCTAGAGTAATTCATCAAAGTATACCAAAAGGCAATCAATATTTCTTTGAAATAAAACAATGTGTTGTTAAGCCGACAGGTAATGAAAATACTATTCCACCGACAAAGGGAACTATAAAATTCTCACAAACGCTATTCAATGACAGGCCTAGTAATCATGAGGGAAAATTGACATTTTGAATGTGGACCTAAAGGTTAGCTGTTGACTACTAACTTTGAGGAAGTAGAAACCATTTCCATTACCTTTTCTCCTGTTAGGTGCTCCCTTAGTTCACTAAGCTCTTTCTACGAGAAACAGCAGATAAATGTCATCATTAATAGGTTAACACGAAATAGACTCTGCTAAGTAACATTAAATGCAAAGTCAAAGTCGATAAAAGCATCTCGTACATCTTCAACGTGATCTGAACTACCTCTCACTTCTCAGTCATACATATTTCTAAGAAGACAGAATCGAATTTTCTTTGCCTCGATTTTACAGAACAGGAACTTCTCCCCGTTTTCAGATGTTGTTTGGGAATATTTTTTCACACTTCACGGGAAATACCCTGAGAGGGAAACGTACTTCTACAATCATCAATCAGAGCCGGTGTTTTGCCAATCAATCAGACACAAGACTTGGGTATGATTCACCTGTGCCTTGGCTCACGCGACTTTTCCCGCGCTTAGCACCAGTTACACATTTTTCCGCGCTTACCATTCGTTACTCGTTTTCCCGCGCTTACCATCCGTTACACGTTTCCCCGCTGTTGATGGAAGTTACATCTTCTTGCCGCCCTTACTAACGGCTACATGACACTACATTTTTTTTTTTGACAAGGCATTAAAAGCAAAGTTTATCCGCCAACCTTGTGTTCTTCCTGTAGCTTGTCCAGCTGCTCTCTGTGATTTGTGTCTGCTGTTTGTTTGTCTATGGCCAGTTCATCAACCAAGTTCTTACGACTTTCAGCGACCTGAAAAACAGCACCACCCAAAAGAAAAGATTAATGCATCACTTAGCTTCAACTCCAAGGCCTTTACGGGCAAAACATAGAGGATTACAAGCATGCTGTTCAGAATGCCAAGAATATTCGGTTTCTTTGTTCGCTCGGAATCCTGCTTTCGACATTTACAGTCGAAACTCCATTAACGGCCACCTCTCTACAGCGGCCAAATATTTTACTCCAAGTCGAGAGATTTGCTCTTATTTTATTCCTCCCAACAATGGTCAGTAAACTCTGTCCCCTGGGTGGCGGTTGAAGGGAGGTTCGACTGTGGTTACAAAAGGAGATTTGCTCTGTGCCGTTTCGTATCAGCGTACATGTAGTACTAAGCTAACAACAGTAACAAAAACAACAACAAGCTTTGTTTTCCCCATTCGGTCAACATACAGATATTTGTGCATAACTTATTGAAAAGAGAGATTTAGGAGGGGTGGTTACCTGAAATAAACTACATAGTTGAAGAAGGCAGCAAGCCATTTTTACAAGTATATTAATACAAGTTTAGGTCGGTGCACACACGAGAGAATACACATACGACACAGAACACACAGTAAACACAACATAAATACTAGACTATAATGGTAATACTAAAGAATAAATAGGAGAAATGTCGAGCAAAAGAGTCTATATATCTAGATACTAATGATTAATTTACATACTAACACAAAATAATTTAATAGCTAGATATATCGTGAAAAGCAGTCCGGTGTACGAATCTCATATTGCAGGCTTTTCCTAGTATCTTTCAAAACATTGATCTTTTATCTTTTTCTTGAACATAGATATTGATGATAACTTTATATCACTATCAATAGAATTCCTAATTGAGGAGCCTTGAAACCCTGGAAACCTTGAAACCGCTAATGGACAATCTTCCGTTTCCTTGCAATGTTTATCGCAAGAAGCGGAAAATCTTTGCTAACAGCAATATTTGTTTTCTCAGCTGAAGTTGCTATTTTCCATTTTTAAATGAACCGCTTCATTTCCTGACTGGAACCGATAAGCAACAATTCTACAATTTCCCTGAGGTTTGACGTTTGTAGGTTGAAAAGGGCAACAACAAAAACAATAGAAACTAATACCTTAGTGATTTCCTGCAACGAATCTTTCAGCTGATCGCACTCGGCGGTTAGTTGTGAAATTTGTTCATTCCAGCCATCCACTGCCGTGTTTTGCTCCTGTGTTGAAACAAAGAAAGAGCTATCCTGTTCCATAAAATACGTTTGAATTGTGAATGGATGAAACTTAAGCAAAAATCACTCCCTCAAGGCGTCACCCTGATTGTTGCTTAAACTTTCTTATCTCTACCAAGGAGAACGAAAAATTGCTTGAGTTTGTGAACCAAAATAAAGAGCTCGGTCACTGCAGTACCAAAGCCAGAAACATTACAACAAAATACGGTTAAAAACAAGTTGAAATTGGCTTCTTAGCTGGGACTAAAGCATACACTTACCTTTAAGTGGGCAGTCAGCTCATCTACTTCCATGGCGAGCTCTGCGCAACGAGTCTCTGTTAAAGAAACCTTGTTTTCCAACTGAGATATCAAGTCCTAACCAAATGAACAGGATTATTTATTTAGTACAAGTGCATACGAGAAATAGTTTACACTAAAGTAGGCCCCAGTCAGGAGAATAAATTGAAAGTGAGTTGTGATTGATTATTTCAAGTCCAGGTTAGTGCTGTATATTTCTCTCTTTTTCTTAAAGCGATGAATATACTGCATTTGGTTTATTTCCATAGAAACTTGTAACTTTTAACTACCCGAGTAATTACTTTTCTCTTGAAAAATTAACGGACACTCAAAAGTCTTTTCAGCCAAGCTTTTCAAACTGTAACTTGAATATGTTTGTACGATAAAATATTGCTTAATTTGTCATTGTTTCTTTTTTCTTTTATTTTATTTTTTGGATTGGAACTATACCTTATTTGACCTGCTTGGCTGATCAAGATGACTGCAAATTGAACCCTCGCTGATGCTTGCCGATTCTGAATTTAAAGTGAGCTGTTGTTTTGGATAAGAATATGGCCAATTGATTCTATGTAGGAAAAATAGCATCAAAAAGTGCGGAGGTAATAGCGTATTTAATTGTTATGCAAAACATTTCGCGCGAACTGAATTGGCCTCCGTGTTAAGTTTTGGTTTCATGTTCTTGATGAACAGCACCTCGTTGATCAAACAGGAATAACGGGAAAGAAACTTATAATCACTGCAACTGCTTAATCTATCGTTATATGCCCAGGGCACAAAACAATGCTTACAATAACTTTGTAATGAGGTACATAGCAGCCTGTCAAACGTAAACCTTTAACTTATGATTCTCCTCGCAGAGAATTAAACAAATCTTTGAAGAGTTTTAAAGAGATAAAATAGAAATAACCATAATTTCAAGTTCAAAATTTTACCTCCGATTCTTCTTGTTCCTCTCTGGCGGTTTTTACTTTCTACAGGAACACCAATAAAAAAAAAAAGTATATAATAAATTTAAGGTAACGATCGAGACGAAGGTCAGGAAGTCAGGGCTATCGATAGAAGCATGCAACTAAAGCGGTTATTAATGGCAACTGCATTGAACGTTAGGTGACCAGCAAACCAAAGTTTGAAAAGAAGAAAAGAAGAAATCCCTTGCACATCATCTGCAAAGGCCCCGTCCAACGCCGGAGGAATTTAAAAACGCGGGTTTCACTCTGAAAACGAATCAAATGTTTTCAGTCAACGCTACGCCGGAGGAATTTAAAAACGCAACAATCCCCAGTCATTTTGAATTTGTGTTTGAGGAAAACTCGGTCAGGGAAATCACGTGATTATCGTGACGTCATCGTTTTCGAAAAGCACCGTTTTCAAAATGTTCTTTCGTCCACACGAAAACGTATAACCGGCGTTTTCAAATTCCTCCGGTTTGAAGAGCGTTTTCGAAAAGCTCCCTTTTTCGTGACAGATTAATGTGGACGGTAAGCGTAACCATAGAAATAAAGCTGCGTTTTCAACTTTCTCAGGAGTAGTGTGGACGCTGTCTAAGTTTGTTCTTAGGTAATGGATACCTAGGTTTTATTATCAATACAAGAGGACCAATGATATAAAGTAACAGCATAAAGACGACATTTTACCTCTTTTAACGCTTGAACTTCAGTGACCAGTGACCCATTTTCTTGTCTAGAAATGACGCAANCTCCCTTTTTCGTGACAGATTAATGTGGACGGTAAGCGTAACCATAGAAATAAAGCTGCGTTTTCAACTTTCTCAGGAGTAGTGTGGACGCCGCCTAAATTTGTTCTTAGGTAATGAATAGCTAGGTTTTTACTATCAATACAAGAAGACCAATGATATAAAGTAGCAGCATAAAGACAACATTTCACCTCTTTTAACGCTTGAACTTCAGTGACCAGTGAGCCATTTTCTTGTCTAGAAATGACGCAGTAGAAGAAAAAAAACAATGACTTCGAAAAGCAAGCATTATTCGACTAAGAAACTAACTTGACCCTTTTTAACTGGCACTCGCGAAGTAGTCTACTCTACAAATCACCGTCAATTC